CCATTTGCAGTTGATTATATGTTAGGGAAGAACAAAAAAAGCACTAATTCTCCTCACGAGTAGTGCAAATAGCCTATCCAAAGAATCGTATCGAGTCGGCGGTGCAAATTGTAACCGTATGTAAAGTATCGGGATTCCATTATCGTCACTTACTACATTATATCAGTGTACATAAACTCTTTTTTTTTCCAAATATAGGTCAATTAAATCTCTCGCCTCACCTGCTAACGATGTCCCAATCTACTTTTTTTCAAATCCACCGACTGAAACATCCTCCCTCTACATACACGTACAGTAAATTTAATAAACTGAGCATCCGAGAGAGCGTAGGCAACCTTAATCAGTAATTAATAAGAGATGCAATTAAAAAAAAAGTATAANAAATGATAATAATAATAATGATAATGATAATGATAATGATAATAATGATAATGATAATGATAGTGATGGTCATGATGATAAAAATAATGATGATGATAATAATAATGATGATGACGACGTTAATTATAGTGATTATAATGGTGATGTTGATGATGATGATGATGATGATAATAATAATTATAATAAAGCAAGAAAAACAGAGAATAATGCACGCCTAGCCACACGATAAAACATTAATTAGCGTAAATATATATGAACGCGAAGACGGTAGAAACAAAAAAGGAGCTACCATTCCAATATTCGCATAAATATTGCAAACTAGACGCAGCATGGGAGGGGGGGCACGAAAATGCACGAGAGAGCCAACCAACCAACCAACCAATTAGCGTCGATTACCAATGCACGCGTGTCATGTTGTACCATGAGCAAGTCTTAATTGGCTATTTTTTTTTTTTATACATATCGAAGCGTGAGTCCGTGCAAGCTCGAAAATGTGTATATTACCGCGGTCTCTCATATGGTGCACCCATACGCTTTATCTATATACCGTCGGGGGAAAGAGACAATTGCACGCGGGTTTGATTGTATCGTCGAGCGTTCGAATAATATCGAGAACGCTTTTCGGGTAGTGTAATAAAATTCATCGAGCGTAAGACTTTTTTTCGCGATAAAAGAAGTGGGGGCGCTATTTTTACTCCGCGCGCGTGCATTTCCCGGTAAATTGTCCAAAGAGTTACAGAAACAAGACGCGGCAATTAATTCAGGCTTGAAATAATAAGTGTCGACGGAACGAGCTTTGTGTTGTTTTTTTTTCCAAAGTTTCGAGAAATAGCTGCTCCCAAATTTATCTGTGAGCGCTAAACTAGCGCAGTTTATTACGCGACCGGAGACGACGACGGACGAACGCGCACTGGAAAAAGAATTACAAAAAAAAAAACATAAAACCAAAGGGTGAATTTAGGTAACAGCGAGTGACAAATCAGTCTTCAATTTGGGATTTTATGGTTCGCGAATGACACGAGTGCCCGATGGCACATACAATGTATCTTTCTTCCAAAAATAGTCCAAAAGTCTCGGCTGCCGATGCTCAGCTATACTCGATTTGAGGTATTTAACACGTGTCTGACTCACGTAAGTGTATGCCGGGATCTCGAGTAGTTCGACACGCTGTACTACTCGTGTCGGTGACTGCGATCGTGTACACACACATCGCTTTTGCCGCTCAGCTGCGTGTATATTTTTTCATCTCCCGTCAACAAGTCCCGCGCCTGACAAATAACCTTTTCGCTCGGGTGCATTAACGCGTATTTTAAGATAGCCATCGCGCGAGTATGGTCCAAAAACCCCGAGCGAGGACGATTAATTCGAGAAAAAGGGGGAGGGGGGGCTCGTGGTATTTTCTCGCTTTTCAGGGGGCTTTTTTCAGGTTGGAAGCGGGGAATTCCTGGGTGTCTCTCCCGCAGCTCGACTGGCACATTGAAAAACACAGAGGGGAATTTATCACCCACCCCCCTCCCGGTGAATTCCTCTCCGGCGCGTCTTCCACGAAGCTTTCCGCGTTTCACTCGCCCCTGGGTTGTACTGCGCTGTCATATATTTACTCCGCGTGTATCGATTACCTCGCTTTTCACCCACAAGCGCAAGCTACGTTAATCAGTCCTCTGTGTTGCGTCTGTGATTGCGCGCGTGACGAGATGTTTTTTGTCGGGTAACGAGGTGCAAGCCGCCTGCTTCCAATGACACTTCTACTTAGCATTTGCATCAACTTTTTTGCGCCCCCCTTACACGATCGTCGCGTGTATAGTTTATAAATAGTCGGGTCGATTTTTCGAGCTCGTATGTATATTCGAGACGTTGGGGAAAGAAAAAAAAAAAAAAAAAAAAAAAAATATGTACATACAAGTGAGCACCAATAACTTGCGACGTTTGAGCTCGTTTACATGCTTTCCCGGACTATTTTAACGCGCGTGATTGATGCACAAGACCCACCTCCCCCCGATGGCCCTTTGATTAAATCCGCCGCAAACTCTGCACTCCATTATTTCGAAAGCTTTTTCGGCGAGTCTGGGCTAATTCGCGGCTGAGGCTGAGAAATGAGCGTCGGAGAGAGAGAGAGAGCGGACGAACCGATCAATCTCCCTCGACGAAAATACCGCGACGATACTATCCTTGGACGCGCTCTCCTTGTGCCTTTGCTCTACTAAGAATGCAGTCACGTGGCAATCTTCCCCGCGTGTGAAATAATCAGTTAGCTTCGAGTGTCATTTGTTTGTCTGCGCTCGGTAAACAGTACTTGAACAGGCGTGCAAAGTGCAGCAGTTCTGCAAGAAGTCATCATTATGCGTAAACCCAACAAAATAAACACTTCATCGCGTTTTCTTCGTGTATGTATATATATTTATAGTATTGCACTTGTTGCGGTAATCACTCGATTCTATTGTCAACTACAATGATGTCTTTTACACAAGTTTCAGGTGTATGTACGCAAATTGCTCGATCTCTCAAGCTATTCGTAGCTTTTAACATGAATTTGATGAAATCGAAAAATTTACGTGCATATCAATGAGTCGTCACTTGGAATTGCAAACGAGAGATTAGCGCCCGAAACACGATTAATGTGTAAATAACTTTCTGACTGTATCTCCGTGTAAAGTGCCATAAAAACAGCTCGAAACACGTGTACTGTATACGCGTCCTGGAGCCACTTACAGACGTGTGTATATTGATTAGGAAGTTCGTGCTCGCGATGTACATTTGTTTCTCTGCGCACCTTAATTGTTCCGATCGATGGACCGGAAAATTTGACCTTCTTCATCTCGTGACGAGTAACAAGTCCACGTATCTAGCGGCTGTCTTCGGCTTCTCTAAAAATATCTCTGCATGCGGAGCTCGACATGTATAATATGAGTGCACGCACGGGCTCCCAAAGAAACGACGTGCCTTGTAGAGACACAAGAAAAATTATCGTCTCTCAAAGGCTTTCCGCGACCACGTAGTGGTTGTCTAATGCAGATGCTTTGATTTCTTTGTTTTGTTTCGTGTTTCGAAAAAGTGGGATTGTTAAGGCGGGTCCCGTACGATTCAATTGTTTGTTTTTGTGACGGCATTTCGGCTACACGAAAAGGAAGCTCTGAATGAATGATAAAACAGTAATTTTCGTACTTGGCTAGATGCGCGCTATTTTTCTTACTGAGGGCGCAATAAAGGTCGAAAGATAAAAAAAAAAAAAAAACCAAAAGTAGGAAAAAATACATTAGTATTAAAATATAATACATTACGTTTGTTAAGATTCATCTATTGCACTATAATGTAGATGATTGTTGCTTCATTTATCATTGTTTTTAATTATAATATTTTTTTAATCAAAGAAAGAAAAAATCAATCATTCCATGGACGCAGATATCTGTTATTACAATGTCGTATATAGAGTCAAGTGAAATATTCTTTGTTCTTCCATCTCACCGCATCAGTAGATACAGTTTAATGGGCTAGATCGGGGATTGAACCCTTTTAAACATTGTTACCCTTGGCCGCATTCTTTTACCACTTAGCCCATATGGACCAAGTTGGACTCACTACTTCTCTTATCATTAACGCTTAACAAGCTTCTGCGATGAAGTATGAGCAAGCGTGATAAGTTAGGAGAACCTGTACAATACACACGTATGAGCCAGCCAAGTCGAGATTGTCCCAGATCACACTTGCATTGCACAAACACGCTGTCCGAAAATTCTTTACTTTCGCTCGGGAAGTGTATATACAATTTTACACCTTTCCCTGGTTAAGGGGGTAGAGGTTTTTTTTTCACCAATTAAGTTTCTAGCCAGAGATCATGTATAAGTAATTCCAATGCAGGAAGCCAAACTAGATTCTCGATTGATGTTTAAAAAGTATGGTAAATGCGACAGAGCCACAGTTAAAGTAAAAATTTGTACGTATTCACTAGTTTAGATCTATGTCTAACTATCTCACAAACCCATCTTGGTGATCGACACACTGTTTACGCACTTTTACGAACAGCAAATCGTATGGAATGGAAACTGCGAGTAAAAGTAGTAACAGCAATGTTTGGTCGGACGGATTTTTTTCGTGGCACGCTTCGACCAGCCGCACTCGGGTACAAAATTTATTGCGTACACGCGCGTTACAAGTACATTTTGATGATATTTTAAAAACTTTGTTTTTTTTCCTTCTCCGATCACTCGCAGATACACGTAGCCAAGCCACCGACTCCCATATTGGTGATTTTCACCAAATATCTCAGAGCCGAGCGTTTTACAGGCTACAACGCACCGATTGAGCAAGTTCAGTGAATATCATTCGAATTACAAGCCGAGAGATAACATCTCGGAAATGCAAAAGCCGTGCTCATTCGCGCTAATCGATATTTACGCTTGCCGCTGTAGACTTTTTTTTCTTTTCTTTTCGCAAGCGCTACATAAATCACGATTCGAAAAATGTACGAGCCAACAACAATCCCACACTTTCTATACGCCGAGCGCGCGGAAGGCCAAGTTTCACCCACTAACGCACGCAACGCAAAAGGCACGAGCACAAGAGCGAGATAAGAGCGTAGTAGGAAATCGAAAAAAAAAAAAAACAAAAGATAGAAAACTCACGAGTGGCGAGTAGAAGGCCGAGCTGTCCATGCCGATGCTGGGGTAGGGGCCCTGGTCGGTGCCGGAGGGCGTGGGCGTCGGGTACGAGGAGTAGGAGCCCGCGGTGGGAGCGAGCCTCGGGTAAGCGCCAAGGGCCAGCCTCGCCGCGCTGTCGTACTGGCACGAGCACACGGTCTGCCCGGTCACGGGGTCGGTCATCATGGGCCGGCCGTTCTCGCAACATGCCGTCGTCGCCCCCGCCGTCGACCCGCCCACCGGTGTGCTGGTGCCACCCCCGCCGCTGCCTGCCCCCGGTGTCGTGCCTGTCGTCGTTGCTGTCGACGAGGAGGGCGAGAGGGCGCCCGGGCTGAGGGCGCCCGCTGACGACATTGCGGGCGACGTGGCTGTCGTTGGCTGGCCTCCGCTCACCAGGAGCTGCAACAAAAAAGCACGAGGATCATGTGATTATCGAGACAACGAGCAAACTTTATTTTTTACGTCTTTTGGTCCCAACTCATTGCGTTACTATATCTTATAAATACATCAAGTATATATATATCTCATGTCGTTCACCAAGGAGGCGTTGAGCTATAACATCGGGGTATCTCGGGAATATTGCCTTTTTGGTGGGTCGATTAATACAAATAGCGTGTAATATAGTTGCAAGGAAATTCATATACGGCATATTTATAACAGTATAATTTATACACGGATATTGTATATGCCCCAACAGCGACTTGCAGTTCTCGATCGTCCCCTCGTGCACTTACTCGTACCTCCTCTTTTATTCGTCGCTCGTAAAATCCATCCTGTCTCCCGCGTGCATGGGTACAAAAAAAAAAAAAAAATGAAGCGTAATAAAAATCCCCGGCAGGAATCCGAAAAGCGAGAGCCAAGAGGAAAGAAAAACAACCGGGAAACAAATATGTATACGCGCGTGAAACTCGTGGAGAGACACGAGCGACTCTCCATACAACAATAATAGCTATACCGCCTCCACCCCTCGCCACCTCCCCCCTTTCTCTTGACGTCTATTGGGCGCGGCTCTATTTTTCACCGAGCCATTGTTTTCCTTGACACCCATGTGCGTGCATATACCACCGCTGCGAGGAAGTTTATCCTCTCTCCGCGAGCTCGGGACACGCGCTGGTGATGCCGGCACCGCGGAGACGAAGCTACACCCCTATATGTGTGCGCGCTCTAGTCCCAAATTTTAGGAGGAAGAAATTTTGTACACTGTTTTTGGGTATAATTTTTAAAAGCTTTGATTGAATTGAATGCATTGCGCGTTACGGTAGATATAATGGTGCACTTGTTAACTTTGAGGGAGGAAAGAAATGAAACGGAAAAAAAATTAACAGCTTACTATTTCATTGGCCTGTTCTCGAAAAATGGGAACTAAATAAAGAGGATGCAATAATACATTTTCCTTTATATCATTGTAGTTTGGATAAAATTCCGAGGGGCTGCGCACTCTGAAGTCTTTTGGAGACTTCCAAGATCTTTGAAAGACTGAGAATGACTTATGAAGTGTTTTCAAGAGTGCGCAGCCCCTCGTAAAATTCATAGTGATAATAATTGAACGACAACATAAAAAGTCACTCTATCCAAAATTTGTACTTTTACGATGTCAATCGTGGGACCAATAACGGTATTTGTCCTTTATTTGATTAAAATCTTTAAAAATAAAAAAAAAACACGCTGTATCTTCATTACAATCGGACGAAACAAACTATTAAATGTAAACGCGGGGCGCAGCATAAATCAAAGGGATAACTCAAACAACAATTAGAATCAAAGAAGCTTTACAAACTTCCACTGCTACGCCTCTACTTCTTCTTCTCTCAAGTACAATCAAAGCCTCTTTCAGCCTCATGAAAGACGAACGGTGCGGAAAGAGGGGGGCGTGCATTAACAGAGACTGCTCGCCGAGGCGGGGAATCACACTTTCGAGAGCCCTTCGGCCCACTCCGCGCTTAATTGAGTTTTTTGCCCGCCGAGAGGCGCCAAACGCCCGAAGAAAGAGAGCACAAAACAAGCAACCTAGCTATAGCCGGCTAGAGAGGCCGGAGGGGGATGAATTTCAAGGAGGAAGAAGGGAAAAGGGGCCGCCCCGCGTCGAGGCCGCTTTTATTCATGCGCGGTTTTGCCGACCGCCTCAACCCGTTCGACGCTCGTAGCGGATGAATCTTCCTTTTCTCTCTCCTCATTGCTCTCCCTTTTTTTTTTTTTTTTTCTCCCTAATACGGACCCTCTCGAGGTCCAATGCAAGGCTTTTCAATCGCATAATCAAACGTGCATTTGCAATTCATCCAATACATAATGCAACAATTTACACGGTGATTATTACCAATAATTTTACCGCCTATTCGGTACCAAAGTGGAAAGCCGCGCAAAAACGACGCTCGACGGCGAATTAAAGAGCGAGATAAGATCGAAGTGGGTATGAAGTTTCTTCTCTCCGGGCTCCCTGCCGCGTGTAACGAGACACCGGCACGTCGTTGCAGGCGAACTTCAGCGTACGTGTACATTGAAGTCGATTCTAAATTTATATATACATATATATATATACACTTGCGCGTTGAGGCGAAGCGGGAGTTTGACGTCGTTTTGAATTACCGAACATTTTCAACACCTGAACCCTTATTCGTTCGAGCGATGCTGCAGGCACATATCCACTTTTGCGCGTGTATTAACTGCTTTCGTGCCTAATTCACAGCTTCTGGGCGAAGTAAAAGTCAAAGAGAAGAGGCTGAACTTCGGACAGCTTCGCTTGGGTCTAGAATTTCAAAACGGTGTCAAAAAAAAGAGGGGACTCTTTTCCAAAGGATACCCGGTTTTTGTCCTCTCTCTCTCTTTTGTTTTTTAAGCATATTTTTGAGCCTTCGGGCGGCTCGATCGTTTTACTATTTGGCACTTTGAAAGATTTATTTCGCGGGTGATGGGTATACTTTACTGGCGTTGGTTTTCGAGGAAATTGAAACTAGGTTTTTTGTCTAGCAGTGCCTCAATCGTCTTATTTAGTTACGCAGGACCACTCGATAGCTTTGCTATACAGAGTAACTCGAAACTTTTTTTTCTTGCATACAAAATATGATGATTTTCTTACCGAACAAAAAAAAAAATATATATATTAACAACTCCATCGGTGGTCGGTGATGCTTCAAGAAGTAGACTACTTTCTGTTGTTGGTGGAAATAAACATTATTATATAAACAGATCACGGATCAATATTTATTTATACGTGTAAAGTGACATGCCATGAATAAGTGTTACATATGGAAACCGTAGAGTTATCGACGTACTGTGCATTCATCACAACTTCACGGAGTGAATCTGCATGGGTATACCCGACGGACAAACGCGAGATCGAGAGAAAAGGCGCACAGGTCGACGCGGGGTCATAACGAAATAAGGAAAAGGCGCGAGAGGAGCTGGCGATGAAATTTCTCAGGCTTGATTGTATCGCGAAATCGTTACGTATATTTATGGGCACAGGTACTTATACCCGTGTACGATTGAAGCACTCGCGTGGCATTGTTTGAGAGACAAGCTGCTGAGGGAACGAGTGAATTCGGGAGGCCCTTGTTATTGACACTTTATGAAAGCGGAAGCTTTTCCACCTCGTACATGGCCCCGTCGTTGTCGTGCATGTTTATGTGTATGCACATGCGCGCATGCAGTGGCGATAAGTTACGTAAACGTAACTTATGGCGTGTGATACTCTCCGTATACGATCGCAAAATACTTTTTTTTTTTTTTTTTTGTCTCTCGCGGTTGAATTAGACTTTTACTTTCATACGAGTAGACATGTACAAGCTACGTACACTTATTACAACGACAATACAAGCATCAACACCCTAGGCGCCTGTTTTACGTACTTGCTTCTTGTTATAATTTAAAAAGAAAAATCAAAGTAATTGAGTCGTCGGCAGTAGAGAATCCAATCTTTTTCTCCTATACAATACACACTTCTCGCCTCGGTTTAACTCGTGTACATTCACAGCGTGTCATGTCGGTACAAGAGTTTTGAAACGACGGCCGATAAGAAACAGCGGCGTAACGTATGCATGCCGTGACGACCGTGTGTATACGTATGTACATACCTTTTAGAGAAAAACTACGGGCTTATCGTCGACGTCGTCTCCAAGAGGCAAGACCTTGTTAAGGATATACAGCTTACACGAACATATGCATGGAAGCGACGGCCTTTTTTTTCTTTCCTTCGTGTAAACCAGTAAACGGACGCGATTGATAAACTGCTCTCGTGATTGTGCATCGAAGTTTTTTATTTTTTATTTTTACGATTCCCAGAACTCGGTATGCGTACATATTTTGATAAATTAATCGAGTTTCTTGTATGTACACTCGGTAATTCTCATTTCGCAACTTTTTCTAGGTATTTCTGTTTATGCGTACGAGTATCCGAAAGAATTTCCGTCCGAAGGACCTTTTTTTTCCCCAATAAAAATGCCCGCCCGCGATTTTCGCCGAGCAGTTGTTTCCACCACTAAAAACGCTCCAACATCTCACGGGGACAATAAAATCCTCCAGTAGAGTCAAAACTGCGTGCATTACGAGGCCGTTTACGAAAATACGGTTTCGAGCTCGAACGGCTTCGAGTGTGTAGGAGGAGAGCCATCAGCACCCCGAGACATCTGCCTTTAATTAGGAAGCGTCGTAAAACCCCGGGACCCTTCCTTCTGATCGTCGTTAAAAAAAAAAAAGCGCGTTGCTCCAAGCGTATGTACGCGTTTTACAAAACACACACAGTGTACATGTATACACCGACAAAATCCCGGAGATCCTCGAAAAGGGAAAAAAAGTCTCTCTCTCTCTCTGGCAACGACCGGGTGGTTTTTGTGGCCCGCGATCTATTCGAGGTGTTAAAGAGCCCGTTAAAGTGGCAGTAACGCGCGACATTGAGGACCCGAGGGTTGGAGGGGGGGGGGGAGCCAGAGAAAAGACGCGTTAAAGCGCGCGATAACGAGAGCGCGGAGGAAGGTGCGCTCGAGAGGGGAGAATCAATTTTCGTGCCTATAGGTACACGGAGGGGGAGAAAAAAAAAGAAAGAAAAAGAGCTCGAGTCGTTTTCTTTAGTCATATGGAACGGAGAGACGAGGGATAATTGCCGATGATGGATCATTCGCGCCCGTGATTAATCGAGCGCTCCGTCTATCGGCATTGCGTAATCTCGCGATCATATGTATACACACCATCAAGTAATAGGCATTTGTTGTGATTATACACGGTGCGGAAGGAAATTTAACGCGTGAAAAGGGCGTGAGTTTGTACGCTATCGCGTAGCCTAGGGGTAGAGTAACAAAGTTGGTATAAAAATGATGCAATGTGGACCAGACTCGAGAGCACAGCCAAGGGCCCCAAAGTCGGCGACGACAACGTTGCACAGCGCAGCGATACCCGAGAGCCTCTTC